AAGGCACACTTTCCCCTCCTTCCTGGACGCCTCACCTGCTCCATGATGGCCTTGGACACGTGGGAAGAGCTGGAAAGCCAAGAGAAAGCGGACAAAATGGTGTCTCTTCGTCTTTGCCGACTCGGCTGGGCAGATGGCTTGTCCACAGAGAGCCAGTCCGTTCTCCAGTCTGCCTCTTGCACGCCTCCTTCTCCAGCTTCTGTGAATTTTTGCTCCCAGTTCTTTGCCAAATTCACCAGAACAGTCAGAATCAGCCTGAAATCATGAGTGCCTGAACCCCCAGGCTTGTTTTGAAATGTGAAAGAACCTAACATTTCGAGATAATTCCTCTTTGATTGGAAAAGGGAGGCAGAGCCTGTAAAAGGTCACAGATGATTTCCAAAGGCTAACGCCCCTGACCACGACAGCTAGGAAAGATCACCTTGGCAGCGAAAGCTATGTCCTGGGGGACAGAGTCACACTCCAGGGACCAAAGCTTCAGGCGACCAGTTGTCCTGGCCCCGTGTGTGCGGTGTGCAGCAGCTGAGCAGACAGGACACCTTGAGGCCCTGGGAGCTAAGTGTTCAGCTAAACCATTTATCTGCATCCGTGTTTGGCAAATTCTGGCGCCCCCCCCCCCCGCCCCCGCCCCCAACACTTAGCAAGATGTACCTAAGGTTTCACAGTCTGAATATTCTAAGTATAATACTTAGAAATGAACTTCCAATTGAGAAATCAATAATAATCCTTAATAGCACTTACAAATACTACGACTGTGGGTTATTCGTTCTTTCCCCTTCTAAAAGCATGGCTCAGGGCACCATCTCTTTTCATGGTCATGCTTGTCTTCTGAGCACAGTGAATCCTGTGAGAGTATGAGCATTTTCCTCCTCCTCGCACCCCCCCCCCCCCCCCCCCCCCCCCCCCCCCCCCTCACACACACACACTCTCAAACCTCTGGGAGCTTCCTGACTGCTGCTTGGTTCAAAACCTTGCTCCTCTCAAGAGCACCTGTGTTTAAATCAGGAAAGAGAACTAAATGGTTAAACATGAACAGTAGGATCCTCTTAAGCGACCATCCCACAGAAGACTGGTTCTTTCTTTAAGATACGTGAGGGCTACACCATCCCCATCTACGGCGAAGGAAGTCAGTGCGGCTCAGCCTCTATTACTAACAGTAATAATGATAATAATAGCCAGACCTGCATAGTGCTTACTGTATGCCTGCCGCTCACACAGATCCGTATATTTAATCCTCAAGCAATTTTAAGAGGTAGGTTCTATTGTCCCCCTTTTTCAGATGGTGAGACAAAGGCTGGGAGGTGGTAATGTGCCTGAAGGCACAGGGCTCCTGAGTGCCTGGGTTCACACCTGGAGGAGGCCTCAGGGTTTCTTTAATGATCGAGAGTCTGCACCAAGACCTAGGCTGGTGTGGCTCAGTGGTTGATCATCGACCTATGAACCAGGAGATCACAGTTCGATTCCTGGTCAGGCCACACGACCGGGTTTCAGGCTCCATCCCCAGTAGGGGGCAGGGAGGGGACATGCCGGAGGCAGCCCATTAGTGATTTTTCTCTCATAATTGGTTCCTATCTCTCTCTCCCTTCCTCTCTGAAATCAATAGCAATACATTTTTTTAAAAAAGAACGAGGACCCCACATTTCACTTTCTTAAAGTCAAATACACTTTTCCCTGTACTAAACTGTGCATTCCCTGACTGGACTGATTTTGTTTAAAATTTTCACATCTTGAGCTACTTATTTGAAGAGCCCTTTCCAATTTCGCTCTGAGGATGAAGGTTAGAAGCTGTTTCTGCTCTGGTTACCACAGCCATGCACTTAGCTTCCTGGAGAAATCATTTTGCAGACCAGTTTCCTGGGAAATCACTTTGCTGGTCTAGTTCTGCCTGTGGCATTATGGACAGTGGAGTTCACCTAAGAAACACCCTGGGCGGTCCGTCCAGAATCTGCGAGCGGGTGGGAGAAGCAGACACCTCTGTGGTGCAGTTTGCTTTGTCAGAACTGCCCTGGACAGGCCAACCACTCTCTTACCCTTCAAGGCTTTGGGGGAAGACACAGCACCTCTAGACACAAGTCCTCCTTATGTGCGACACTTTCACTGGCAGGAAGTTCCCTGTTCTATCTGAATCTTTCATACCAGGCACCAGAGCTGCATGATCTCATCCGATCTTTAATCAATCCCACAAGGAAAGTGCTATTATTATCCCCTTTTGTAGCTGAAACGAAACATGGATAGGCTGAGTAACTTGCCCAAAGTCAAGCAGCTAGTTAGTGGCACAGCCTAGATTTGAATGCAGACAATCGCCCTCCAGAGCCCAATTTGTAAACTTTATGATGGACTGTCTCCCCTTCGAGGGTCCATTTCCTGTGCAGAGGGCCCGTGCCTGAGGGAAGGCCTATTTGCTGGTCTCTGGATCGTAGAATTGGATGCCTGTTATTGCATTGCCTCTGCTATTTTTTTTTCTTTTAAAACCGATAATTAGCTCTGAAAAACCCTCAAGTTCAATGTTCACTGAATGTAGGAGGTGACTAATTGTGGCTGGGAATACTTTGAAGGGCATGGAACGGATGATGAAAGGCCACTGTGGCTGCCCCTGCTGTGGGGCAGAGGTCCATGAAGCCAGATGGCCTTGTCCTGGGCTCTGACTCCCTGTGTTCCCCTTTCCTGTGCTTTCATAGCCTTCGGTGCTCACCTGGTACCCCCGGCAGGTTGCGTGCTACTCTACAGCTTCCTGTTTCCTGTGGATGTGTGCGGGATGAATGCTCACTCCAGAGGTGTGACCTGACCCTCATTTACCTGTGCATGCTGGTTTGCAGGCCTTGCTTTCTAACACTTTCACAAGAGGCTTTGGATTTTAACTTTCCCATCCTCTGATCATCAAAGTAGAAACACTGTTGCTAGGCCAACAGCACACTCATTTGTGTCAAAAATAAAATAAAAAATAAAATAGGGAATTCATGTTGCTGGCAAAAAACGTAAATGTACTGATGAGCATGTCTTCATGGCTACTGAAGTGAATTTGCACATGTACATTACACACCCCTCAAGACTGGGGTGGAACTCGCTCAACAAATGTAAGAAGAAGAAGTAGAGTGGCCCCCATGTTTCATGTTGGTTTCTGAGGACGTACATGCTAATAAAAACGCTGCACTTGACACGAGGTCTATGCTCGTCGGTGTTGTCCTCCTGCAAATGCCTCTTCTTCACACTACAGTCAGAATAATCTTTTAAAAACACAAACCTGATTATATCCCCCCCACAAAAAACCCTACAATAGTTCCCCATTACTATGGTGCTCAAGGGCAAAGTCTTGACAAAACTTGCCTAGACCCCTCCCCGACTTTGCCTTTCACTCTATTTCTCTTCATAATTCCCTTTTGCACTCTATTCTCCTCACACTCCTTAGCTCCAAGCCTTACACACCTGTTCTCTCTGCCCCTAACTTGCTCTCATTTACTTTCCTCCACGTCACACACATCTCCTGAGACTGACTAATCTTATTCATCTTCCTTGATCCCCACTGAAGCCTCATCCCCATTAAATGGGGCCAGGGGCTTGTGATGGGCTTCCCTATGCCAGCTCTACCTCCTTTCGTTGTACTTACCTGTTAATTGGCTACCTCCTTGGGCAGCTGTTGTGAGGGCAAAGAAGGGGTCTGTCTTATTCACTATTGCATCCCCCTTGCCACACAGGTTGGGGCATAGAGCAGGTTTCCATGAATATTTATTGAATGAATATATTTATCTATGATATCTCCAAGGTCTCCTGAACTGCTTCTATCAGAACTTTTAAGAGGGTCACACAGAAATGACCAATTCCTGAACCAGGCCGCTGCAGAGAGCTGTTAAAATACACGCAGAACAGGGCCTCCTTTGCCAGCTTCCTCATCTTCACCAAGGGAGGCAGCTACACTAGCCCTGGGCAGCCTCCCACTGCTGAAAGCCCCTTGCATTACCCAGCGTGGACCATCAGTCTTCTCAGAAACTCAGGGCCACGGAATTCAGGTGACTCTCCTGAGCCTTATCTGAGAGTTCTCAAAACATGATTGTTCTGGGTCTTAGCATCAAAGTGTCAAATGTGTTCAAAATAAAGCCAAAGCTCATGTGTTCCCTTCCTTAACCATGGATCGAGAAGCTCACCCCTGGCATGGATTTTGTTTTGGATTTTGATCTAGGAATCCGTTTCCTACAGATTACAGCATGCAAAACATGGCGTACTTCACACAGACATATGTTCCCTAACTGATTCTGTTAAGGCAGTGGCTTTCAAATCTCATTTTGTCCCCCGCCCCCAGGTCCCCCTCCAGGAGACATTTGGCAATGTGTGGTGTCGCTTCTGATTGTCACAATTTGGAAGGGAAGCTACTGGCATCTGGTGGGTAGAGACCAGGGAGGCTGCCAAACATCCTACAATGCCCAGGACAGCCCCCGCAACAACGCATGATCTCACCCAAATGTTACCGGTGCCAAGGCCGACAAGCCCCGAGCTGAGATGACACTCCTGGCACATGAGAACTAGGCCCTGACTATCTGTGTGGTGTTTCTAAGACATAGGAACTAAAGCAGAAAAGAATAAGTCAAAAGCAATAAGGTGGCTGTGGCTTTTTCTCTGCCTACGATTTAGAAATTAAGATGCACAGCCTGTCTCTAAAGTAGAACAATTCAGTTTGGGAGTGTTTCCTAGGTAGAGCCCAGACCTGGATCGATGAATCAAACCACCTATGGAAATCTCCTAATCAAGGCATTTAGCATGGAACTGAAAAGACTCTTGAGTGTGAAAAGGAGTTTTGGTGAATTCAAAACCATATTTGTTTTTCCACAATGAAAATGTTGATGTCACTTATTTTTCCTAAGGCTATAACCATTTGGATAAAGATATTCATTTGAAATGCAGGTGAAATGTAAATTGCTACTTTTCTATACAGACAATCAGTGTATTTATACTTAATCCATAAAGGCATGATGTTACAAAACACATTTGTATATTGTGAAGCCATCCGGCATCAAATTTTCCAATTTATAGACAACTTTGTATTTACATAACAAATCAGTAAATCAACCATTTTTTCCCCCGGTTTATAAAAGGTCACTGAAGTACACACACAGTGTGTATAAAAGCAGGTAAGGCTGATAATACATATTTACAGTAGATACAAATTAATCTTTCATATTTAAGAAAATGCTTTTTGTATATTTTTTCTCCATCAGACTCCCTACTCTTAGCAGGCTATCCCATGCTGGAATTGTTTATTGCTTTTTGGCTCACTGATTTAAAAATCACTAGGGTTTTTTTTTTTTTACACACATGAATTACTAATGTTCTTATCTCTTTGGCTAATGCGAATGTGATAGAGTGAATGAAAGAAAAAGATAAGCTAATTCAATATTACAGTTCTTAATATCAGGTTATTAATTTGGCCACAGCCCCCACATCAATAAAGTATTGCATAACTCATTTTATACATGACAATGACATGTCTTGAGTCTTGTGTTACACTATTTGGGCATAAATGGGCAATGTAAACAAGATTTCAGATTTTCAGTAAGGTCTAGTAGACTCTAGAATCCTTGGCTTTCTTTTCACAAAGAGCAATGTCACTAGCATCTTACGCATCTTAGATTTTAAAATCTCAGTGCAGAATGGCCTGTGACTTACACAGGAACGTTGCACACAGCACGGACGATTACCAAAGTAACTGCACTCTGAAATGAAAAAGGAACCTCCTCATGGGATAAGTCAGTAGAGAATTTTCATAAAACTTAACGAAAAACAAAATAACTGCCCTCTGCTCGTCCCACAATTCTGCTGTATGTTCAAAACAGAAGGTTGTGATTACTTAAAAAAACAGACACAGCAAATAACTCAAAGTCAGGGTCTAATTAAAAGACTAAAAGTGGCCCATGATATCACAAGGGATGAATATTCTTCTTAAAGTATTGATATTCACAATAGAATTGAAATGTTCCTTTAAATAAATAAAACCCCCGATTGCTTTTAATGCCACAAACAAGACAAATCAAACAAGAGCTGCTCTGTTAATTTTCACTTGTTGGAAATAATCTTTGGAAACAACATAAAGGTATAGTTTATTCTCCTTGTGCTTCCTAAGACTGTTAGGGGAACAGAATAAAATCAGTTTGCCTTTTCCAAGGGGAGCTATTAAGTTCTTAAAAGGAGCAAAACATTTTCATTCTGTTTCCATTCTCAGATATATTAGGGGGAAGAGTTTATTTTAGGGAATAAAAAAATGTACTAATATAGAAGGGCTAGTCTTCATTTAAAAAAAAATGAATTGGCTTTAATACAAAGAGAAAGAAATGGCTCTATGGGCAAAATTTAAGTATGGTGACCAGTTTTTTAATTGTAAAGTAGGTGCAACATTTAAAAAAAATGTTACAGCACTGCATGGCCTGTCATGCCAACAATGTTTACATTAACTGCTTACATGAAATCATATAACTGTAAAAGAGAAAGGGGGAAAAAACCCTGGTGGACTGAAACAACCACACATAACACCCACATCAAAGCTGTGCGCAGCCAATGAAATCATGGGTGCAAACATACTTTACATGGTCTACTGATGTAAAGTATACATGGGTGGGGGAAGCACAAACCCACTTAGTTTAAAATATCAAAAAGAAGGCTTGATTGACACAAACTCAGTCTGAAGACAAAAAAGCAAAGGCTGAAGAAACTTGTACATATGAACACACACACACACACACACACACACACACACACACACGTGCCCAGACAGACATAGGCACCTATCTGTGACTGAAATCAATCATATAAAACAAAACAGTAGAAAAGCAGGTTGGTGCACAAAAAATGGACAACGTTAATGGTTGAAACACACTGAACACATCAACTAATTACAAAAATGTGCCAACTCAACTACACAAAAGATGACTCTAGGACTGGGGAAAGACAAAACGAACCTACCCCAGAAGGAAAGGTCCCTCCCTCCAGCCCATGGAGCCCAGTGTGGCCAGTTGCTTGGGGACAGGGCTGAGGGTGGGAGTGGAAAGGACACAGAGACGCAGGAGACCTGGGGGGAGAATTAAGAGCTGCTGATATTACAGAACAGCCCAGGAGGAGTGTTCTGTGCTGTGGCCCCAAGAAACCAGTTGGAGGAATGACCTTGGTCTCCTTTTTCCTGAGTTACTGGAACTCTGCTACATCATGGGACTGAGGAGATTGGGGGATGGATGAGAGAGGAGTAAGGGTGAGCTATTGGAGGGCCTCCCAGCAGCCCGATCACTAAGCTGTTGAGTGAGCCCTGGGCTAGGGGGTCAAGGCAGCGCTCCCTAGGGGAGTAAGAATTTGGGGGTGGGGCTGGTCGTAGGAAAAATAAAGGAATAATGGACTTCTTTTGACAATACATCAACAGAAGCCTGGCTGGAGGCCTGAAAATTTGTTCAATTGCTTGGGAGATAGGGTTATACCACCACCACAAAAATTGTGAAAAAAAAAAGACAGAAAATTATGTTGTGCTACATTTCTTATTAATAACCTTGTACTTTACAATGGCTCACAGTTTTAGGCTTGTATACTTGTAATGTAGTATTTTCTTTCTACATTTGTTTCAAATTTGTTTCTTATTTAATATAATATAAATAATTTGGTTAATAGATTTAACCTGCACATTTCAGCCACATTAATATATATATATATATATAAGAATCTGTTAATGGTATAAATAATTCTTTAAATAAAATAAATCTGATATGTTACATAATACTGATAAAAAATTACCATTGCTAATAATTTTGAAAGCCACCTTAGCTTGCGGATTAAGTAATACTGATAAATGGATGGATATATGAAACTTGCTTTGATGATTCATATTTCTTTTTGCCCCCAAAGGAAAACTGAGTTATAACCAACCTTCCCTCTGATGATGATTTCAAAGTGGGGCTTTAGCCTCATGTACAGGAACAGAAGAAAGTTTTATCTTGTCAGGTACTGTTTGCAAAGAAACTTGGCTCTGAGCATCACGGTGGTGCAGCATAAGCAATCTAGTCCAATAGGTGGCTATCAAACGTTACCTACAGAAATGACTGAGTAAAATATTCCCTCTAAGATTTTTTTTTTTATAAAACCTATTCTACTTTAAAACTTAGGTAAAAAAAATATGCAACAAATGGTTGCAGTTTCTGAATTCTTAATTTAGACCTGTGAGCCCTCAACCCTTGAGAAATCCGCAAGGTTTCGACTTCCTAGACACCCGAGGTCAAGTCCAGTGCTTGCAGGCCAGGTGCGTCCAAACAGACAATATAAATGGACACTCAGTGGTGTGCCGTGTATGTCATAATTCAGGGAATACACATCATCATGCCTTTTCTCTGCTGTTAAATACAAAAACAGCATCTTTTACATTATCATAGAAAAGCATTTAGGTTGTATTTTTATTTATCACTTTACACTGGTAGTCTCTGGTAGGTGTACTCCATAGAAACCAAAGAATTTTGTACACTATTTCTTTGTACAATAAAAGATAAAGTGTGCATTAAGTACGCTTGTACATGACAATATTGTACAATATTTACATTTCTGATATCACCATGAAATTCTGTATTTTCTATGTACAACATTGAAAAGTCTTCAGAAACATTTGGACTATCTCTTATAATCACAATTTTAGTGTTATAGAAAAAAAGGGTTTCTCAGTCATCTCTTGACCATTTATCACGCCCATCGCTCAGGGATTTTGATTGGTTTTTCCAGCATTCACTATCCTTCCTGATCAAAAAAATATTGTATCGCTGTTTCTTTTAGCACCCTGTGGTGGATGTAGCTCTCTGCCATAGTATAAATATTGATATAACGGTGGCTATATCAATACCTATATACAGATATATCTGTGCACGTTCTTTCAAAAACACTGTGCATGGTGTAGTAGTCCCTGTTATCTGGAGATCTTCCTCCTCTTGGGTTTGGGGGGTCTCATCTGTCTGTCTCCATGTGGGATTTGGTGAACCTGGAAATAAAGAGGCGGGAAAACAACAAGAGAGGGTGAAATCATGAATACCATCTGATTTCTGACACAGAAACGTAGGAAACAGACTCAGGCTTTTATTTGTAATCATTGCTTTCGTTGGGTGTTTAAAATGTTTACCAAGACCCTAGATCTCAACGTGCCCACGGTCACTGCAGAATATGAGGAGTCCTGGAAACTTGGAAGCAGAGCAGCACTCTGTGGACCCCACAACAGTGGAACATAAAGGAGGAACTGGGAAAATTCAAGCGCAGGAAAGGCGATGCGCAGTTGCCACTGCTGCTGTACATTGAAGATGAGAACAAGGCCTTTCCTGTCAGAGAGCCCTAGGTCATCAATGCCACCAGGACCCGGAAAGTGGGTGAATACACACCAGCCATGTTTTCTCCTTCACTCATCACCCTACTTATTTTACAACTACTAAGAAGGGTCAGAAATTGCAAGAACCTTGGCCCAAGAAGTTTATTTATGAGAAGAGTCAGGATGGAAAATGGAACACCACCACCATCTGTTGGCAGATTTGAGCTTGTGTAGTCTGGGAAGAGCAATTAATACAAGTCGTCTTTATAAACTAACACAGAAACTAGCAGGATTGAGGGCTGTGTATCAGATTCAGCAGAGGCGAATCAGACGAGGAGCATGATCGCCAGGTATCGGAAAGCCGGTGGTGTGGTTTCGAGGGGCAGAGGACAGGTGTTAGAGGGGTGATCAGGTGCCCCATGTTGTATTGTGGCTACTGATGAGAAAGGGAAAGGTTAAGTTGCAAGAAAAGCAGGATGGATCGAAGGCAGCGGCTTAGCAAATGATTAACAACTAGCTAGCTCCCTGTGGAGGGACACAAATACATGGTAGCACATGCCAGTTTCCACAGTGTAAATACTTCCACCATGGTTGATTTCAAGCTATCAATGTGATGTCACAGAACTAAGAGTTAGAAAGAGATGTACACAATCAGCTCGTGGCATTCACAACAAGTTAGCTCTATTGTATGTTTTAAAAAATAAAATTTAGATAATAGCAAAGGTCAGTGTTATTCAGGGTCAAATGCAGAAGACTTCTTAAAATATAATATTTAGGTTTTAAAAATAACATTTATGCATTTTTTTCAAAATGCCTCTTCCTCTTAACCCTTTCCTACACATTTTAAAAAATCATAGCCTCTGATAAGGAGTTATAAGTGAAATCTTTTTATAATCGAGGAAAGCCATTATTTAAGAATATAAACTAGTAACCCATGAAAAGGTATTTTGTTTAGCCATCCGATGTTTTACTATTTTAAAAATAGTTGTCAACACTAAAGAGAGAGAGAGAGAGATTTTATTTCTAGACTTCTAGCATCTCAGGAAAATAAGGAGCCCCTCCTGCAGGGGCTCACGCTCCGGTTGCCACAGTCCCTGTGGCCCAAGACTGTCCCCTGGCCACAGAGGCCAATGTCCTGAGGCAGGCACTAGTGAGATGCTGGCTAAACCCATTTTCTCTTCTTCCTGAGCAGGCACCTTGTATAAGGCATGTCCTTGTCCATGAGTTAAGAAGGCCACATGAGCTCTAGCCGGTTTGGCTCAGTGGATAGAGCATCAGCCTGCGGACTGAAGGATCCCAGGTTCGATTCCAGTCAAGGGCACATGCCCGGGTTGCAGGCTCGATCCCCAGTGGGGGGCATGCGGGAGGCAGCTGATCAATGATGCTCTCTCATCATGGATGTTCTCTCTCTCTCTCTTTTCCTCTCTGAAATCAATAAAACTATGTGTTTGTTTGTTGTTGTTTTTTTACAAAAGGCCACATGATTGGGTCAGGCCGAGAGTCAGCAGGAGTGATATCTGCCAGGCCTGGCCTGTAAAACCTATCTTGGTGGTGCTCTGTGTGCACTCTCTTCTGGAGGCTGCAGGGCTCGATGCCAAGATTATAATGGAGCAGCCTGAGGCTCTAAGGAACAGTGGATGCTAAAGAACCTGGGCCCCTGAAACACTGTGTGGAGCAAGACCGTCCCCAGTCAAAACCAGACGGGAGCGAGCAGTTCTGTGCGGAGCCTCTAAGACTGGCAGTGGAGGGCAGCCTGATCTCACCAGCGCGTCTGGGTTGGCACGTCTCAGTCCATGCGAATTGCTGTTTTCCTCACACCTGACTCACCTTACCTATGGGTATTATTTCCTTGGTCTTAGAAGGCATTTGAGTGTATAATCCTAGTTCCAGACTTTTCTGTCAGGAAATTTAACATCTCAGGGCCTCAGTTTGCCCATCTGTGAAGTGATGGGTTGGATCACAGTGTCTCTAAAGCCCAGACCAATCCCAACATTCTGTGAGTCTATAACATACACCTGTCACACAATAGCCACTGGATGGCTCTCAGATAACCGTGTTAGCACAAAGTGTCAAGAAAAAGGAAAAGGAAAAGAAATGACCTTTCAGAGCTGAATAGCTTTAGATATGTCACATATTTAAAATGATTACCAAAATTATACTTTGAGTGTTTACATTAGTGAATTAGAGGATAATGATTAAATTGCTTACATTCAACACTGTTATATGCACTGTTCAATAAAGGAAAGAAAAAGTAGATAGTACTTCTCTAAAACCAGAGGTTATAGTGTTAATTAGCTTAATAACAGAGTTTTGTGCCAAATATTTTATTTTTTAGCTAACAGTAGAAAGGAAATGAGAGGTCTATGAACTGTTGATCTTGACCTTGTTGTTCAATTTCACTTTTTTGTTCTATGGATAAAATTTGCATCAGTGAATATTTAGGCAACATTAATGGCCACAGGTATTCAGGGTCCAATGCAGAAAGCTGTGGTTTGAATTCAATATTTTGTTGCTCATATTTTTTAAAAAATGCTATATGCAGGGGGAAAAAAGTTACTTATCTCAGAAAAAGACATAGTTAATACTGCTAGGTTATTTTTTTTAATTACTTTTGGATCTTTTCTGGTATCAGTCTTCTTTAGAGCCTAGTAATTTAGTATTGCTACATGAGTTGCTTGACAATATTTTAGAGACTATAGCAAAAAAGTGCAATACAATTTATTTTCAAAGAAACACAGTATAATGGAAAAATAAATTAACTTACAGTCCCAGACATTTTGTCCAGTTCACTCATGGCCTCATGAATAGCAGCTTCTAAATGGTTATTTAGCTTTCCACTTCTAGAATTAATGAAAACAACACATCAGATTAATAAATTAAAGAAACAAAACGGCAATTTAATTCCCTATTCAGAAAACAGAAGTGCCAATTCCACCAGAGAAAAATCAACTTATATTCACATTTGGAAAATTCAGATGACAACACACTCTGGAATTCTCACCACTGAAGGCTGACAATAAAATAGCAGATCTATGCGGGGGGGGGGGGGGGGGGGAATTGAACACACGATTGGGGAAAACGGATTCTCTCCCCTTCCACATGCTTCTTCCACGTCTGATAATTTTGCAAGGAATTTGGGCCATGGGTCTCTTTCCCACAGACGCAGCTTATCCTCCAGCCGGTCCTGCGTTGCTTCTGGTTCTGGCTTGTTTCTTTTCGGGAAGCAGCCAGGCATGTGGCCAAAGGGAAGGGCGGAGGGGCTGAACTGCGGGCTCTGGCCACTAGGGAGCTCCCTCTACCTTCTCTGGAGCTCCTGGCTTCAGGAAGGTAGTGAAGGCTGATATTCAGATGGGAACTGGCTGCAGAACTGGCCACACCCAAGGCTCCCTCCACGCGGGGAGCCCACCCCTTTTCTCCCCAAACCCAAATGGCATAACCGTTTGAACAGATAAAGAATGACGGTCTCAGAGTGTCTATCACTTGCCTGACCTCTTCTCCCCATTCAGCATTCCTTTACACACGTTTGGCCTGAATAACACGCACAGCACAGCTGCCTTGATTGAAACTTACATCTGGGAAGCTCTTGGACTAATTACTAAACGCAGGCAAATCCACACTAGCCACCTCTGCAGTCACGTACCCTTTGTCCATTCTGTTAACTTATTTCCCCTGCTTTATGCATATAAATAATTACCCAGTTATTCTGAGTAAGGTGATCCATTTCATTTATCTTCCCAGGACAACTATGAGAAAAGCTGCAGAGCTTTCCAAGGGTTAAACTGTATCTCAGCATCTACAGGGAGATCAGAATTTACAAATGCAGAAGAATTTGGCTCGCAGTCCCATTTAATTTGGCTCACGACCTGTTTAAAAATGCATTTGCCTTTAGATGAGGCCTTTAGGCTCACCACACTCCTCGCCTGGTCTCCTCACATACCAGGGCTGACCATTCATACACCTAGTTTCTGGGTATACCTTGAAGAATTCTGAGTCTTCCATCCCTGAGTAGCACACGGCTGGGCACATCATGATGCCTATATTTACTAAATAAAAATATGTGTCCAAAGGTAGCATGCTGGCCCTATATTTTGGAAAACATATAGTATGCACTTAAGTCAGTTTAACTGAAAGGAAAGATGAATGCATTGGCTGTAACCACATTATAAGGGCAACGTGACACCAAGCCTCTTCCACCCACCTTTGCTGACCTGTAAACTAGCCTCCAGCTTCTATATTTCCCAGGTACGTTCAGAAATCTAAGCAATGCAGAAAAGTGCATAAAATAAATGAACTAACAAACCCATTTCCAAGAACAGACTGTTAACAGACGACATATTTAAGTCCTTTTTCTTTAAAAAATTAAAGTTGAAGTTCCCATTTGTCATCAATTCCCAGGCCCATTCTCTCCCACCCTCCTCTCAAAGGCAACTGTGTTGCATATCCTTCTAGAATGTGTTCATATTTTATATGATTATCCATAAACAGTACCTAGGATTGTGTTATCAGTATATATATATACTGATATATATATATATACTGATATATATATATATATATATATATATATATATAACCACATTATATATATATATCAGTATATATATTGGGAGATATATATATATCCCAATGGTGTCCTGATAATACACACCATTCTACAACTTATCTACCCCCCCCCCTCCCCCTTATTACTGTTTGGAGCACTGTCCAAACTGATGTAACCTGTTATATACTGTTTTTATTTACCTACCCATTCTGGCTTTAAGAGGGCCAGGGTACCTAGGGGAGTCAGTCTGCCCTGTGTTCGCAGTGAGGAGTTGGCTAGGCAGAATTCTGGGTGACTGGGCAGGAATCCAGTCTCAGGACTGCAGGGCCGCCTACGCTTAGCTGAGGTTTTTGGGGGCTGTTTGGAGAAGGTCTTGATAGTATCACACATTGCCTAGTTGCCCAACAGTATTACACCTTGTATTATGTGCTAAACAGATTTATCCTTACTATTTCTTTTGTATTGAAAAGTATGAACATAAATTTTAAAATATATTTCTTTGTTACACATTTTGATGATAAGATCTGATGGGTTTAAAATTGACTACGTAAGGTTCTAAATACCTAAAAAGATGGTAAAATGTTTTCATGAAAAATCATCAGAGAATCTTGTTTCTCTCACCTTTACCTTAATAACAAAAATAACTACTATCTATTGAAAATTTTCTGTGCCAAGAATTGTGTTAAATCTTTACATCATTATCTTATTTAACCCATACAACAATCCTAAAAGGTAGGTATTATGACAACTGTTTGCATGCAATACCTTATGACTTTTGTAGGGGGAATTGGTGAAACCAATTTTAATTTTGTAATGAGGAAGATGAATATTTAAGTATAATTAGTTTTAAAAGTAATAAACAACAGAGTCATAAATTTTTTATGTAACTATTAAAAATTACAGTGGCTGTACTAATCTACATTCCCACCAGCAGTGAATGAGGGTTCCCTTTTCCCCACCACCTCTCCAACACTTGTTGTTACTTGTCTTGTTGATAAGAACCATCAACATGGACAGACCTTGAGAATATTATGCTAAATGAAATAAGCCAGTCGGAAACAGCTAAGAACCATATGATTTCACTCATGTGGGATATAAAACTGAAACTCATGGACAGCAGTGTGGTTGGTGGTTGCGAGAGGGAAGGGGGAGGGGGTGGGGGTGGGGATGAAGGAGGCCTAATATATGAAAGAAGATTTGACTTTGGGTGGTGGGCACACAGTGCAATATACAGATCTTGTATACAGAACTCTGTATCTAAAACCTATGGGATCCTATTAACCAATGTTGCCCCAATAAATTTAATTAAAAATTACAATAACATCACCATTAAAGAAGATAAATAATTTAATATTTCTTGTTAAATAGAATTTTAGGAGTCTGTGATCTCATTCTTCAACAAGGTATTTAAAATGTTTGTAAGTACCTTGTATTAATTTAAGCTAAATTAGTATAATATTATTTTTCTTTAACAAATGTAAGTAGTTAATAGAGGAAGAAGTGACTACTCTTGGAAGAGAGGATAGATACAGAGATGCGGGGCATGAAACTACTTGAATATATCATGAGAATCAAAGAGTGACTGTCCCAAATGTCAAATCTCCAGACCAACTTTTACACTCACTTGTCAGGTAGGGGGAAAATGAGCTTAAAAGAGGAAGAAAAACTCCATGAGCTCCTGAAATGAACAATTAGTCAAATTCAGCCCTCCAGTCCAGAGGGCCTCCCTGTGGTGTCTCTTCTACTATTTTCTATATCCCGCTGACATTTAATAATAAACATTTTTACTAATGGACACTCTAAAACCTACTTGATTAAGCAATTGATGCTCATATAATCACATTTCTAGTTATTAATGGAGATAATTGCCACTTCTCATCTCCATTGCCTATATTGTCACACATTATCCTTTTCTTCACTAATTAAAAAAAAAAGCCAGGTACACATCTGTGAATGGTACAAGAAATAAAAGGGAAATGAGAAATTGCATGTTGCTCTACACTGTCAGTTTAAAATCTGGGCAACTTCATGCAGAACAGAACAAATTTGGGGAAGACTTAGAGTCAAGAACCTTAGACTCTAAAACATTATCATAAAGTATGAAGATTTAAGAAAATTTTACACACTAAGTATTACTTCTTGGTTTTAAACTAAAAGTATGATTTGTTTTATTACTTTATCATTTTCCAGCTTTGTAAAAATCAGGGTACCAAATAATTTATATGTACGTATAAGACAGATATTTTTATCTTCACATAAATGAAAACCATAACATCCTTAAAGCTATGGAATTTTTCTTGAACAAAGCTATTTCCTTTTTTAAGTACAAAATGACCCTGAGTAGTGTCATCAATAAATATGTTAACATTTCTTTTGCGGTTAGGCTGTAATAAGCATGTAAGTTTAAAGATATTTTACTGTACAGTTTGTAGGACATTGAGGAATAAAATGACTACATAAAGTTTTAAACATTGAATATGGTGATAGAATATTCCAACTGCATAAATATCAGATACTTTTGTTTCTTTCACCTGTATCTTTATAATAAAAATAACTATTCACTAAATATTTACTATGTACCAAGTACTATGTTAAGGCTCTAATTATGTTATCTATGTTACAAAAACCCTAAAAGGTAGGTATTACCATGCCTCTTTTAGAAATGAAGAATTTAGGCTCAGAGAGGTTAAGCAACATGCCCAAGGGCACAGAGGAATGAAGTGAAAGAAACAGGGTTTCAACTCAGATCAAAAACCAACCGCGTAACAATCTTGTTCAGTACCATCTTCCCCTTGCAGTCTCTTCCGCTGTTCTTTTTCCCTCAGTCTACAAAAGCAGTCAAATCTTTGTAACCTTAAAAATTTTCTATTGTTGTTTTTCAGGAACTTCTCACATTAATGGTAGCAACCCATGGCCACTTTGTTTTTATAGCCACTACTCCAGTGGAAACCGGTTTCACTAAGGTGACCACTGGCCTCCAAACTGCCCAGTCAATGGAGATGTCTCAATTTTTGTCTTACGGGACTGAGCATTCTATCATCCCCAAACTTTTAGTCTTTGGCTTCTAACACCCTACTCTCCTACCACTGATGATCCCCCTCCTTTCCGCCCATCTTCTTCAGTATCTGCAGTAAGTGTTCAAATGCCCCCGTGTTCAATCCGGCCAAGGTATCTCTCTGTGATATGGCCGTTTTTACAATGTCAAATACAGTTTCTCCCCCGTTTCAGACCTGAGTGTCCAACCTATCCCACAGGCACCCACACAGCACCCAACAGTTCTCCCTGTCTTCTCCATTCCAGTCAGGGTTTCCGCCACCCAGCAGGACATCCAAACCAAAACCATGACAGTTGTCCTTGATTGCTTACTCTCCTTCACAGGCCAGTCAGTCACCAGGATGCTCTGTTAATTTTACCTCCCAGATATTTCTGTACCACACTCCTCCTCCTCCATCTGCATTGTGCTCTTCCTGGTGTGAGTCCCCATCTCCCTTGTCTTCTACTGTGGCCTCCTAAATGATCTTCCTGCCTCCAGAACTGTTCCCCTACAATTTATCCTCCATACAGCCATTTCTAAAGTAAAAATCCTGTCCCCTTCAGGCACTTCCAATAAGATCAAGGATCCCATGGGCCTGCACTGGGCCCTGATGGTCTAGTTCCTGCTTACACCTGTGGTTACATCTCTTACAGCTTCTGACGCCTTATAGTCCCAGTTCCAACTGTTGATCTCACCGGAACACTCTCCCAGCCACCCCATTGCAGTCCTTGTTTCTTTCATCTGGTTCACACCTGGGTAGAGATCATCTGCTCCAGGAGGTCTTCCTGTCCCTGAGTTTAATGCCGCGCTTCCATGATCTCAAAATAGACTGCACACATTGCCATCCCTGCAATTTTAGCATTTTGTTTGTTTCTGGATCTGTCTTCTTCATCAGTGAGCTCCAGATCCTGCAGTCTGTGCCTGGCACTTTTTTTTTTTTTTTTTTGGTAAATTCATTTCCTTAAATTGGGGAATAAATAAATGACTGGATTCAACATATCATTTATCACTCATGTGACCTTCCACTAATTATTTAAGCGATTTGGGTCTGAGTGTCCTCATCTATAAATGGGCTCAGTGATTCTGGCCCATCTTGTGATTGCATAAACCACACATGCAAAGTGTAAACTATTCTTCTGGGCATTTGCAAGGCAAGTCCGTCCACTTCGACAATGGTATAAATAAATCTGTTTTTACTAATGTGTGCTTCATAATTTCTTCTTTACCTCTTTAGCCTGCACGCTAAGTTTACGGTTTCATCAGAGTTACTTTAGATCATTCACTACAAATAGTAAACTGGTTTTGAAGAAAAAATTGTTAAACCACTGTTTGTTACTCAATACCTTTCAGAAATTGCATAGTAACAAATTTGTGGGGAAAACACAGCTTATTTCAAGGCAGAATATCTAAAAATTTGGAGGAGTTATTTCATTTCTGCATTATCAACTATGCTTTGGGTATTCTGCTCATAATCCAGCTAACCCGCATGCCTCACTGGAAGAAAGATCTTAGAGATTTTTTTTTACATCAGATAAACAAGTACAGTTGACACTCTATAGTAAACAGCCCGTTGTGAATTTGGGATGTAGATAATTTGCAATTCCTCTCCTTTCATTCAGATCTCATATTAATTGGATAGGCCTTATCCTACTACCAAGCCTCCACAGGAAGAGTCTCTTTCAGAGCAGAGGGCACCCGCCTCACTGCGTTCCTCATCAGCTCTGCAGTCAATCTGCCCATTCCCTGGGCCCTCGTCCAGCCAGTGCCAACACCGGAGTCCAGCATAGGAGCTGGCCCTTGCAGTTGACACCCTGTTATGAGACATTCCCATGAGATAAAGAGTCTCCCCAAGATCTGTGGAGTTCTAAAATTTTACCTCTGGCAAGAATTACTGACAACCCCACTAAAAGAACTAGAGTGCCCTTGAATAGATATTTACACAAAGGGCATGTCTAAGCATTCTGGTTTCATAATTCTTGGATGTCTGGTATGTAATATGAAAACTGTAGTAACTGAACAGGTCTGTCAGTTATATATATTTGAAAATAATTTTTCATGTACACACACAGAAGCAACATTTGAAGTTCTTTACCTCAAAATAAAATAAAAAGGGGACACCTGTAATACCTTCAACAATAAAGATAAATTTTAAAAAATAAGTTATGATACACAAAACTACATTGTATTATAGTGGAAACTGTGCTTCAAGCATTATTTGCTTGAATATTATACATTTATTCAGAATATGAAGATCTGGAAAAACTTGAATAATAATGTCCCAAAGTTCATCTTCTTGTTACAATTTCAAAGAGAACTTACTGCATCTGCCCCAAGAGAAAAAATACCATCACTTTGACTAATTTGCCAAACTGTGAATGGTAGACTTTTTGCTCTACTTTCAGAGACCATTTAATTGCTACATGTTGAGACTATTAATCATATTCCCTTGTCCACTGAATCAGAGGGATGGAGATGGAGGGAGTTAGGAAAGAGTCGATACACACCAAACCCTCCATCCCCTCCCCTGGTATAAATTGCTAAGAAAATATTTTCTGAAACAGCTAATTTGGTTTGTCTATAATGGGCCTCTTTGGTGATAACTATCAACCTGTTCTTAATCAGTGAGATTTCATTGTCGTTTGAAGGAAAACCAGTAAATTATATCCTTAAAATACTAAATGGGCCCGGAAGGTGTTGCTCAGTGGTTGAGCATCGACCTATGAACCGGGAGGTCATGGTTTGATTCCCAATCGGGGCACATGCCCGGGTTGCAGGCTTGATCCCCAGTGTGGGATCTCTCTCTCCCTCCTCTCCCTTTCTCTCTGAAAGCAATAAAAAATAAAGAAATAAACCCAAAGTTTATTACTTAAAAAATGGGAAGAAAAATAATAGAGCTTACTTTCTGTTTCTTTTCCGGGCTCGGCTGTAGGCTTCTAAACCTTCTGTTAGTGTCTTCAGCTTCTCGGGCTCCACCTGAGTGAAGGTATGAAGACCAGATCACATTACCCAGACCTGCGATTGTCACCACTGTTTTCTCTCTCCTGCTGCACAGCAGGCTCTGCACTGGGGAGGCCTCACTGCCCTGCCCTGCCCAGTGTCCTGTCCTCTCCACGTAGAGCCTGGCCCAGGCTCCAGGCTGCAAACAGCAGTGGAAATGAAAGACTGTTGGGCTTTTAAGTTGTTAACATTTTTAAAACAGTGTTTTAAGAACAAAACTTGGAATTTTAATAACCTTCGATTGGCAAAACGATATAAATCAGAGATCCTGTTTTGCTTTCGTCATTGCCTGCTGTTCAGAGACTGCAAAGCTGTGTCCCATCAGGGAGGACAAGAGCAGTGGTGCGTGGAGTTTGCATCCGACCTCCCAGCATAAGGAAAACACTTAAATTTTCCGAGCCTCAGTTTCCTCCTCTTTAAAATGAGGACCATAATACCTACCTTCCTGCTAGAATAGCTGTGAGGACCAAAATGTGACAAGTCCCGTGGAACAGTTAGCCAAGCATGAGCAGCCAGGATCACCTAGCATGCTAGGGAGGCCCTCACAGTCCTTACTGATGTGGGAAGAGGGTGTTGCCACACCTGTGGGCGGTCCTCTCCCCTGTCCTGCTCTAGCACTATCACCCTCTGCGAAGCCTCCACCTCATTACAGTGCGGCCACCAGATGGTAGCTGGGGATCGTGGGGGTGGGGAGGTGCCTCTGCCCCTCACCCCAATAATCTCTATCTCAGTTTTTGAAACCATCTCCCCTAAGAAAAACAATAAGTATAAAATTTGTATGTAACTTGTGAATAAAAACACCTTTAGAAAAACATTGCTATTTTTATTGATCTTTAACAATAAAAGGACAAACTAAGTAAAAACAGTGTTACTTGTATAAACACAACTTCAAGGCAAATCCCCTGCCCATCCCTTAACCCAGTTCCCCCACCCCTACACTACCTTTATGTAAACATTCAGAGGTTGACAAAATGCCTCCTGAGTAAGAAAGTAAACACTAATAAGCAAGGGTATTATTATTAACTTTCGTCTTTAAATCTCCCTGACTCCTTGAATATTATTTATAAGTGACTATTTCTTTGACCACTTCAAATTTAGTACAAAATAATGATCAACACAGTGTTTTCACTATCAAGTCTGAAAACAATCATTTCTAAGTATTTAGTGAGAGAAGTCAAATGGTGATTTTCATATTTTGCCCTAAAGGATTTAAATATTTTATATACACAAGTTCATTGGGGATAACCAATCTATCATTGCCAGAACAAGAGATGACACTTCACAGGAGCCATGAAGAAAACGTCTTATCGGGATGATTAGAAAACTTTAAAGTGAATATATCCATGTGTTGTTTAAAAAAAAAAAAAAAAAGGTGCCTGGATACATTTTCACATTTCATGTTAGACATGAGGTACCATGGTGTATTCACTCACACAAAGAGCATATGAAAGAGATTACACACACGACATTTGTGTAATTTGTAGCTAATTCCACTTTTATTTAAATGGCCTTCTTGGCAGCAGGAAGGAAGCTCTCCTGTAACAGAAACTTCTGTTAGACACAACGGGTCTAGAGAGAGACCTCAGAGGGAGGGATGGATGCAGGCAACAGAGCAGGTTCACAGGGAAACAAAGCAAGACACCACAGTGCAAACTTTCCCTATTCATCTTAATTAAAAAGAAAACAAGGCTAAGTTAGGCCAAACAGTTTTTTAAAGTCTTTCATTTTTAAAAATTTTAATTAAATAAGGAATAAGGGGCAGTAGAGACATTCTTGTGCATTTTTATGTAAAAGGCACTGCTTTATTATTGAATATGGTAACACTGAAAGCCAGTATTATTTTTGTTATTTTGCAGGTGGGACTCAGGAATTTAAGTAACAGGGCCAGCACTGAAATTCATGTCTGACTCCAAAGCACTCAGCTTCCCTCTACCATACCAACTCTGATAGACATTGAAACATATAGTCATTTTATATATAACTAGAGGCCTGGTGCATGGATTCGTGCACCAGGGGTTCCCTTGGCCTGGCCTGTGCCCTCTCACAATCCAGGACCCCTTGGGGGATGTCAGACTGCTGGTTTTGGCCTGATCCCAGCAGTCCAGGCCAAGGGACCCCACCAGTGCACAAATCTGTGCACCGGGCATCTAGTATGCCTATAAGATCTTTGGTTAATCTCTTCTCGCTCTCCCCCTTCCCCCCTTCCCTCTGAGATTCATCAGTCTGTTCCATGTTTCCATGCCTGTGCATTGAGTGTCTGCCCCCTGGTGGTCAGTGCGCATTATAGCTACCAGTCAAACCGTCACTTAGGCTTTTATATATATTTTATATATAATATACACACACACACATAGACATACTAAAAAATTAAGTAAAATTATTTTAAATCAAATGAAAATTTTACAGAAATTTAGACACTAGTTCAAATTTGTTTTCAAAATTTTTCTATGCTTAGATAATTTTCTGGTGACTTTTCTGAATTAATTCTCTACAAGATTTCTTCATTTAATTTTGCCTGTAAGGCCCAAAGGTACTCTCACAACAAACTATACTATTTATAAAGGAGTCAATGAACTTGACAGAGAAAGCAATGATGGTGCTTTCTAAAACTAACTATAACACACATGTCTATGTATTTCTGATATAACAGGATCATACATCTCCAGAGGTAAATATATAGTTTATTTTGTTTGAAGAAAATTTAATAGAATTTTAGTACTCTACTGTACTGTGAAATATAATATACTAGAGGCCCGATGCATGGAATTCGTGCAAGAGTAGGCCTTCCTACTTCCGGCTGCCGGCACCGGCTTCCCTCTGGTACCCAGGACCTGGGCTTCTCTCTGGCCACTGGCAGGCATCTGGGACCCAGGCTTCCCTCGTAGCCTGGGCGTCCAGAAAGACATCTGGAAGGATGTCCAGTCTAATTAGCATATTACACTTTTATTATTATAGATGAAGAGTGCCTGTTGTTTCTGGGGAAATATTCATAAATCTTCACAATATTCAATAAGCTCTTTAAAGATACCACCCACCCAAATGGTATCAGAGATGAACAAAATGAATTCAATTTCTAGTCAAATAGAAATCATATTTAATGATTTAATAAACATTCCCTCACAAATTACCTGGCTAACTTGTAAATGAAAAAAATACTGGAAAATCAAATACATATATAGATTTAATATATATTAAAAAGGTTAAACATGTTTTATAAAACTGACACTGAAGGAGCAGGAAACAACATACACAATACTCTAATTTATAATTATAATCTTACTAGAGGCCTGGTGCATGGATTCATGCATCAGTGGGGTCCCTCGGCCTGGCCTGCAGGGATCTGGCTGAAACTGGCCCAGTGTACAAATTTGTGCACTGGTGGGGTCCCTCGGCCTAGCCTGTGGGGATCAGGCTGAAACCAGCAGTCCGACATTCCCTGAGGGGTCCCGAATTGCAAGAGGGCACAGGCCAAGCCAAGAGACCTCACTGGTGCACGAATCTGTGCACCAGGCCTCTAGTATGCATATAAGATCTTTGGATGCCATTTCGAAGCTTTGATAGCGCTCCCAGAACTTTTGGCGAAAGACAGGAGGTGCGTGATCGCGCTCCCCAGCACTCTAGGCTTTAAGTAATAGTACAGGTAACATACCACATTAGCTGAAGTCTGGGAGACACAGCTCTGAAGAATTAAGTAAATATGAGGCAGTTCCTAGGCTCATTATCTCTATATATAAAAGCCCAAGTGACTGCTACTACTAGCTGACCAAATGACCGGTTGCTATGATGCGCACTGACCACCAGGGGGTAGACGCTCAATGCAGGAGCTGCCCCCTGGTGGTCAGTGCGCTCCCACAGCCAACCTCTGGCAGGCCCTCCCCTTGTTCCTGATCGGGACTGGGTGAGACAGCCCTGATTGGCCCTGATTGCTGGCCAGGCCAAGGGACCCTACCTGTGCACAAATTCGTGCACCGGGACTCTAGTTATCAAATATTAAATAGTAAATATTTTTTCGAAATCTTCAAGCTGAAGAAGTTTTGCTAACTTAAGTGCAATATCTCAACATTTTTGAAAGAATGGGAATTAATGGTAAATAAGTAATTTGGGATAAAATGTTAACTCACCTGTGACAGAAAGGATGAACTTAATTTTCCAATAGAACTCAGAAATATCACTAAAGTGAATCCAGTTTTTCCAATGAACTCATCAAATCCACATTATTACTATGTTAGTCAGTGACACTATCTGAGCGGTGTGTATGTGTGTGTGTGTGTGTGCTTGCTTTCCTCCTCTCTCTGGAAAGCGGTATCTTTGAGTACTAGAGAACTACACTGCAGGACTAGAGTAAATCTAAAACGAGACAACAAATTTCAGATTGACCAACAACACATAAACACATGAGATGATTTGGATAAATTGGTAAATCCGAAGAAACACTGTTGAAAAGCTCAGGTGACAGAAGCACGTATTTGCCCGAGACCTGAGATTGCATTTGCTACCATCTACGTGAAAACTGCACTGCCAGCTCGAGAGCTCTGGGCTGAGCTTCAGTATCTGTGAACGGAGATAGGCCTCCTTCCCCTCTTGGATGCTGCCCAAAGGAAGTAGTTCACAATATCCCACAATTCACCCGCGTAAAGCTTACAGTCTCATCTAAGCGTTTGACTCAGTTTAGTCTTTTTTCCTAACATTCCCATTTCTGGTCTCATCTAGTTCTTCATTTGTATTATCTCTCAAGTTTTGATTGGGCACTGACTTTCTTAGCCTGGATCTTATCATAGTTACTACTTTTCAAAAACGATTTTGCTTCCTTTTCAAGATGATTCTGTTGCTACAGAGCACTGATTGCCCCTGCCGCCCTGCCAGCCAAAACGTAGCCCAAATATTATCGATATGGGTTCTGCGCCGAGGAAAGGATTCCTTTCCAACAGAGGCTAAGAAACTATCTAAGTAAAGGGGATATACGAAGGACAACTTCA